TTAAGGAGTTGAAGAACACGCGCGTGAGAGGGCGCGTGGGGAGAGGTAATAAACAGACGTTTTGAAAGGAACAAGGTTGAAAAGAGAGTCCCACGTCGTACGAGAACCCAAACGTTACATTGGCTAATAAACTCTCTCACTTCCTCATCATTGGAGCGTTTCTCTCACGCGCTTTTAAGTGGTTTGGGAACAAAAAAATAATACTATTTCACTTTTTTTATTACTTTTCTTTCGAAAATCCCTTTTCTTGTCTCCTGCTTTAATATTTTGATTTTTCTTTCTATTGGAATTATTTGGGACCTTAATTTATTGCATTTTAGATTTTCGTAATCTACACATGTTTTTTTTTCTTATATCTTCTGCAGTATCAGTTCAAAAGTAATTCTAATTTAGTAACTTCAAGTTTCTGAAGGATCTAACTTGTGGTAAAAAAACAAAAAACAGGCTGCAGTTTATTATATACATCAATTAGACAAAAGTTTTATAAAAAATAATACTATTAAAATATACGTATATAATTTTGATCTACTTAATTATATATTAGTACAAAAGCTAAACAGTTTGTTGATACTAAAAATAATAAATGATTTGTTGACAAAAAAAAAATATAGAGAGTTAAATTGCCCAATAGACCAAAAAAAAATTATAATTAAGTTTATAGCTAAACCTACCCTAGCACAATCACAACCTTTATATTTAGGATTTTTGGCTATATGTTTAATTATTAATTTTTTTTGGTTATTAGACAAATTAGCCCATATATATGAGGCAGTATATTAGACAGGGTTTAATCTTCTTTTTTTTGTCAAAAGATAGGGTTTAATCTAAATTATTAATTTCGGTTTAAAGTAATATCTTTAGTTTGTATGTAGTTGTAAATTACATGAACTTTGAAGACACAAAATAAAAGTGGTGAGTGGGATTTCCATTTGTGTCTACTTGTCTACGTGAGATGTGTTCAGAATTTGGGTATATAAAAGGGTAAAGTGGGAATTTAATTTTGTTTCTAGATAGACAGTGAATGACATTATGGGAGAGAGTGTGTTGACCATTTTGTGTTGACTCAAAAGGACAAATTCTTTCGTAAATATTTTTGTCTTCGAAGTCGAAAGTTGTAGAATCCTTTTAGATTTTCCAATTTTTATACCGACAATTTTGGTTACTGTACTTTCCTACAATTTGCTAAATTATTTGTTAGAAACTCTAATATAATTTGGTTACTTCCTTTTCTTTTTCATTTGTTTTGTATGAATCATGAGTCTCATGGCAGTCGTTAGCAGTTTGAAGTCATGAATAACAACACCCTTTGTACTCTTCACAACATTCACCTCTTTTTTTTTTTGTAAAATAAAACAAAAGAATTGAACACACAATTTAGCTGGATATCAATAAGGTTTAATACCATCCTCAATCCTCCAAATATCTACTAAAATCGGGTCAATTGGATAATTTTACATATTCTATTCGAATCAAATAATTTGGTTTTAAATATTTTAATATTAGAAATTGAGATATCGG